TTTTTGATTTATTGTAGAGATGAGATCTCGCTGCCCAGGCGGGTCTCGAACCCGCGGGCTCAGGCAATCCACTCACCTCAGCCTCCCAAAGGCGCGGGATTACAGGCTGAGCCACCGAGCCCGGCTTGGAACATTTTCAATCAAGCATCTTGACCTGGTCCTAGTCTATGAGGAAGACTATGTCAGTCTCAGCTCTCTTCACAATGGTTCTGCTTTGTTTTTTTGTTTTTGTTTTTTGCGTTGGAGTCTCACTCTTTCACCCAGGCTGGAGTGTAGTGGCACACTGACAGTCACCACAGCCTTGACCTGGTGGGTTCAGGCAATCCTCTCACCTCAGCCTCCCAAAGTGCTAGGATTACAGAACTGATCCACCACACCCGACCTCACAATGGTTCTGCTTTAATTGGCGAGAGCAGTTTTGTTTTTTAAATTTTTATTTTAAAGAAGTGGGGTACAATTCAGAGTTAGGTGAGAGCAGATTGTTATGTTACTAGAAGTGGAGCACCAACTGGAACAACTGAAGGGAAAAGTATCATTAGCACTATGAAGTAACTGAAAGAGCCAGCACACAGTGGTGAAAATACTGCCTCCTTATTCCACCTTCTCCCTCACTAAACCATGCCTCAGGCCAAGTTCTACCACCAAAGTTTCATTTTGAAGTCCTTCTTACTGGATTGCTACTTTGTAGTGAACATTTCCCTGTGTCAAGCATGGGCTGAAATTTACCATGAATTATCTCATTTGCTCCTTAAAACAATCCTATGAGGGTCTCATATCCCCACTTTAAAGTTTAAAAAGTCTGAGACTTAGGTTAAGTAACACGTCCAAAGTCATATATAATAGTAAATAATGCAAGCTGGGCTCAAGCCTGTAATTCCAACACTTTGGGAGGCCGAGGCAAGAAGATTACCTGAGACCAGGGGTTTGAGACCAGCCTGGGCAACTTGGCGAGACCTCTACAATAAATCAAAAAATTAGCCAGATGTGGTGACATGCGCCTGTGGTTCCAGCTACTTGGAAGGCTGAGGTAGAAGGATTACCTGAACCCAGGTCAAGGCTACGGTGACTGTGAGCATGTCACTGTACTCCAGCCTGGGCAACAGAGTGAGACTCCAACTCAAAAAAAAAAAGTAAACAATGCAACTAAGTTTTATTTTTATTTATTTATTTTATTTGTTTAGTTTGTAGAGTTCTCGCTATGTTGCCCAGGCTGGTCTTGAACTCCTGGCCTCATGCGATCCTCCCGCCTCAGTCTCCCTAAGTGCTGGGATTACAGGCCTGAGCCACCACACCTGATAAAGGAACTAAAACTAGGTTTTAAATATGAAGCTAACCAATGCCAGATTCAGTGGTATAATTATGATATGATTATGTGATGACTCATCCCAAAATTATATTGTCACCGTAATTTTTGTTCCCTTATCAAAGTGCTTATTTCATGTATTAGTGAGAGAGAGATGGGGTGAGAGGGAGAGGAGGAGAGAGTTTGCTTTTGAGGGATTGGCTCCCATGACTGTGGAGGCCTGCAAATCTGACACCTGTAGGTAAGCTGGAAAATCCAGCAGGAAGCACTGTTCCTCTCTTGAATCCTAATGCAGTCTGAGGACAGTATTCCTTCCTCTTTTGGGTACCTCAATCTCTTCCCTTAAGGTTTCAGAGGATTGGATAAGGCCTACGCACAAGACGGGTAATCTGTTTTACTCAAGTTCTATTAACTTTAATGTTAATCATACCTAAAAAAACAGCATGTTAGCCATACCAAGTTTCCCTTTATAACCCCTACCGTCAGCCTAAAACTTTGAGAATGGTCTGTTTGAGGCGTAAGCCTGGACATTCCCCCATCTATCTGCTTTTGGAATAAAGTCACTTTCCTTTCACCAAGCCTCATCTCTTGAGTTTATCATGCAGCTGTGAGCCACCAAGGTTGCTTTCAGTTATGCTCCCAAGACCCCGATGTTGTGACTACCTTCAGAGTAGATGAAAATTTGGAAAAAGCTGACACAGTTCTCCCAGAAAGTGGATTTTCCTCTCAAGTCTATGCCTGCCCCCAAACCTGCCAGCCTCTTCACGTTCACCTCTCGCTTCTCAGAGGTACTAGAAGTACTAGAAGTCCCAGCTGTGCTGTATTTCTGTCCATTTCTCCTCTTTGCTTCTGGGCTTACTAACAAGCTCTTCCCCTCTGGGTCTGAAACACTCATACCATTCCCAGCCTCCACCAGCCTCTTGTCTAGCTAACGTCCATTCCTTCTTCAAGTCTCAGCTTGGATTTTAGATTTCCTCCTCAGGAAGTACTTTCCCATCCCTACTCAGCCAGGTGAGGTGTCACAGGTGCCTCAATGGCATGCTGTACCCTTTGCTATTTGTTACCTGTTTGCTTATATCCCTAACTTGTGTCCTGAGAGCCGAGACATTGATTTATTCCATGGTATCTCTGATGCCCAAGGGGGTGTGGTGCAAAATTCATGGATTCTTTGACTCAACCCTAAAATGAATTTTAGAGTGGCCAGCAAAGTTTTAAAACAAAGTTTATTTCAGACAGAAGAGGGGAAAAAGAGAGACACCAGAGCCTGCATGGGCAAGAGAAATCGCATGTTTTGCTTTTTTATAATAGGCCTGATATACCTTCACGATGATTGATATGCTAGAGAGTGGAACCCAGGTAACTGTAGCTCCTACTGTACTTCGCATCTGATGGGTGGAGGGGTGGTCCTATTGTCATTTCTATGACCTTTTGATTCCCAACCCAGGAACTACCATGACGGAGTTTGCCTTTGGTGAGCCAAGGGTGTAGGGTGGACTGGGAGTCCACACTGAATTCACATTCCAGCCTGCAGAGTCATTCAGCCTACCAACAGGAAGTCTGGATGCTTTCCAAAACCTGCCTACAAGAAATGTATCTATCTATGCCTAATCTGCACTAGCTACCCTGCCTTATCCCCAGCATTAAAGTCTGTCACATAATAAACATTCAAATATTTATTGGTGAAAAGAAGGAAGGAGGAAAAGAAGGAATGAAGACCCTTGCTTCTGGGCTTCCTAACAAGCTCTTACCTTCTGGGTCTGAAACACCCTGTATTACCATCCCCAGACTCCCCAACCACCTTTTGCCTAGCTAAGCCCTTCTGTAGTTCTTTGGTTGTACCACATAGCTTCGATCTAACAATTGGAAAACAGGATGATGGCATTTGCCCAGAGAATTGTAGTGTGTAGAGAAACTTTGATCTCCTCAGATGCTGGGGAATCTCTACCTAGTGACTGGCATCTGTGGAATTTGCTTTGACAGCTTTTATGATGCTGATAACTCTGATGAGTTATTAGAAGGTGGCAGGAGGTAATAGCAGGAATGGAGAGGGACCAATAAGAAGAGTATTCATGGGTAATTGGATTGCATGTGTCTAGGATATGAAGGAGAAGGTGCCAGATCAGAAAGTTGGGAGAATCTGTTTTCTGGTCCAACACAATATCATCAACTCAACTGCATGTTGAATTTGAGGTGTTAGGGAAACATCCAAAATTACAGTTGAAAATATAAAATAAAGCCAAGAAAACATAGTCCTTCACAAATTCGTCATCTTCGTGTCAATTACTGTTATCAAAGAAGTGTCCAGACTGGCCATTAGGCAGAGCAAGTGTCTTGAGGGTCATCAAAAAGACTCTCCTCCCTTTACTACCTATTATCATAATAATATTATCACATTTTCAAATACATGCTATATGCACCTATATCCCTGGAAGGACAGGTAAATGGTAGCAGTGGTTACTTCTGGAAAAGAAGGCTCGTGAATTTGGAGGTCAGAGGTGGGAGAGAGACCTATCTTCTAACATTTATCCTTTAGATCCATTGAAATCTTTATCATGTACATAGATTTTTAATCTACATAGGAAAATGGGGTTTTTTTAATTTTTATTTTTTGGAGTTGGAGTCTTACTCTGTCATCCAGGCTGAAGTGCAGCGGCACGCTCACAGCCACTCCAGTGTCGACCTGCTGGGCCCTGGCGATCCTTCTGCCTCAGCCTTCCAAGTAGCCAGATCTACAGGCGCACACTACCACACCTGGCTAATTTTTGATTTATTGTAGAGACAAGGTCTCGCCAAGTTCCCCGGGCTGATCTTGAACCCACAGGCTCAGGCAATTCACTCGCCTTGGCCTCCCAAAGTGCTGGGATTACAGGCTGAACCACCACGCCCAGCTACACATATATTTATTAAAAAGATAACCCAAGCCATTGCCTTGCTAAGCTATGGTGTGGTCATGTGCTCTTTGAGCTGTGTTTCCTTAAGCTTTGGCCCCCCTTTCCTACCTTGGGGAGGTAAATCTCCTCTTTCTTTCTCTGTAACTAACTTTCTAAATAAACCATATTTTCTAATCTAAAAAAAAAGATAAAACAATTATATGACATTGCAAATGGCTCAAGAATGGAGGGAGGGCCATTAGCTTCAGCAGCTGGGGCAAAGTTCAAACCTCCTAGATGAAAACTTTATGTGCATTTAGAGTTTGTGCACTAGAGCAGGGAGAAGTGGTGTGGTGTAGTCTTAGCACCTCAGTAACTAATAATTGAGCCTGGGGCTATAGTATAGATACCATTTGCCTTTTTCCCAGTGCGTAACAATCTAGGTGCTTATCACAGACCTTAAAAAAACAAGAGTTTTTGTCCTTATTGCAATCTTAGGTAACTTAACATCCCTACTTTCCCCCTTTACTGCTCGTCAACAATCCAATTCTTTTTCCTTTTCCATCACTCTCCTCATCTTTCCAGCCCTTTTAAAAATTGCCACGAGGGGGCAGCAGCCTCATGTGCAAAAAAGTGCTCAGCCTGGTGACAATAAAAAGCACAAAGATGATGCCGTTAAACAAACGTTGTCAAAACTTTGGATTTTAGCATCTTGCTCTGAATTTGTTTGTGGCCACATTTAACATTCTGTTAGAAATTATAAACAATGCAGGTGGAAAAGAAAGTCATGCTGGGGAGTGGAGCTAATGTGCTTTCCTCTCTTTCAGGGGCTGGCCAAGAAGAGATGAGATAGAAAAGAGAACAGTCTAGAACCTAAGACTAAACCCTAATGTACATTCTTGCACCAGGATGGAAGGGGAATCTTACCACAATGCAACCACGGTCAATGGCACCCCAGTAAGTCACCAACCTTTGGAACGCCACCGCTTGTGGGAGGTCATCACCATCGCAGCTGTGACTGCTATGGTAAGCCTGATCACCATTGTGGGAAATGTCTTGGTCATGATCTCCTTCAAAGTCAACAGTCAGCTCAAGACGGTGAACAACTATTACCTGCTCAGCTTAGCCTGCGCAGACCTCATCATTGGGATCTTCTCCATGAATCTCTACACGACGTACATCCTCATGGGACGCTGGGCTCTCGGGAGCCTGGCTTGTGACCTTTGGCTTGCACTGGACTATGTGGCCAGCAATGCTTCCGTCATGAACCTTCTGGTGATCAGCTTTGACCGTTACTTTTCCATCACGAGACCCCTGACATACCGGGCCAAGCGTACACCAAAGAGGGCTGGCGTCATGATTGGCTTGGCCTGGCTGATCTCCTTCATCCTCTGGGCTCCGGCAATCCTCTGCTGGCAGTACCTGGTTGGGAAGCGAACGGTCCCACCGGAGGAGTGCCAGATCCAGTTCCTCTCTGAGCCCACCATCACGTTTGGCACTGCCATTGCCGCCTTCTACATCCCTGTTTCTGTCATGACCATCCTCTACTGCCGAATCTACCGGGAGACAGAGAAGCGGACCAAGGACCTGGCTGATCTCCAGGGCTCTGACTCCGTGGCCGGAGCCGAGAAGAAAAAGCCAGCTCACAGGGTTCTGCTCAGATCCTGCTTTAGCTGCCCTCGACCCGCCCTGGCCCAGAGGGAACAGAACCAGGCCTCTTGGTCTTCATCCCGCAGGAGCACCTCCACCCTTGGGAAGCCATCCCAAGTCACCAGCTCCAGCACCGAGTGGGCCAGAGCCGAGCAGCTCACCACCTGCAGCAGCTACCCCTCCTCCGAGGATGAGGACAAGCCCCCAACTGACCCTGTCTTCCAAGTGGTCTACAAGAGTCAAGCCAAGGCAAGTCCAAGGGAAGAACTCAGTGCTGAAGAGACGGAGGAAACTTTTGGGAAAACGCACACTGAAAAAAATGACTATGACACCCCAAAGTACTTATTGTCTCCGGCTGCTGCTCACAGACCCAAGAGTCAGAAATGTGTGGCCTATAAGTTCCGGTTGGTGGTCAAAGCTGACGGGACCCATGAGACCAACAACGGCTGTCACAAGGTGAAAATCATGCCCTGCTCCCTCCCAGTGGCCAAGGAGCCTTCCACGAAAGGCCTCGACCCCAACCTCAGCCATCAAATGACCAAACGCAAGAGAATGGTCCTGGTCAAAGAGAGGAAAGCAGCCCAGACCCTGAGCGCCATTCTCCTGGCCTTCATCATCACCTGGACCCCCTATAACATCATGGTCCTGGTCTCCACCTTCTGTGACAAGTGTGTCCCCGTCACTCTGTGGCACTTGGGCTATTGGTTGTGCTACGTCAATAGCACCGTCAACCCCATCTGCTACGCCCTCTGCAACAGAACCTTCAGGAAGACCTTTAAGATGCTGCTTCTCTGCCGATGGAAACAGAAGAAAGTGGAAGAGAAGGTGTACTGGCAGGGGAACAGCAAGCTTCCCTGAGATGTCAATTCCTCTTAAAAGAGTAGCGACCATATTCAACTTCCTCTGAGGAAAAGCAAACTGGTTCTGGTTTACATATTTTAAGAAAAGACAACCATCATCTGGAGTCCCTGAGGACTTTTGTCAAGGCTCAAGTTCTGTTGCCAAAAGGAAGGAGTCACAGCTGCAGCAGTTCCTGTCATTTGAAATGATTCTTTTCTATGACCAAGGCCACCTGATGCCGCTGGAGTGAGCCAAAGAAGTAAAGCGAAAGACTCGTGGCCCTTCTCAGGAGGAAGCACACTGGGTCACAACGCAAGTGACTTAGGGAACTTTTGTCTAACCTTCTGTGGGAAACAGCAGGGCCCAGGTGGAAACCTTCCCCTGTCATAGAGTTTTTGTGCAATATGTATGTGTCTATGAAGTTGTCTTGTGCCAGGGAGAACCAGGAGAACGTAAATCAGTGTCACTTGTTGACAAGTGTGATATTCAAACTGACTTCTAAGAATAGACTTCTTCACAAACTGATCAGTGTTTATCACACAGCTATTATGTGGTGTGTGCTGCGGGATGTTTTCCTGTCCATACAAGAAAACATCTGAGTGAAGTCTCTGCTCTCTCCTTTCATAACTGATGCTAATCTCTGGCACTCACCATGCTGATCCCCACAAAACCATCCTTCTTCTCAGAATCCAGTGTCCAGAAGGAAACTGAAACCTGGTCAGACCAGGACTTACAGGGGCCTCCTTCTGCTAACACAGATGATCAAATCTCCACAGTCAGTTATTTTAGTTCTTACCAGTGAGAATTTTCTTTATCTAAACAAATATTAAGCATTCGATTTTGTACGCATTTGAACCCACCTGTTCTTTGAAGGAATCGGTGTAGAACACCCCTTCACTGGGCAAAGAGCGTCTCCAGGCTGTTGAGTCACGATTCTCGCACTTTGTTTTCAGAGGTCTTGCCTTCTCATCTCTTTACAAGGCAAGCCTGAGCAAAATGTGGAAAACAAATTTCACTTTGAACTTCTTCCAGTGCCCTTCTGCAGCCTCCAGTTTCCCTCTTTCAGATCTCCAGTCCACACCAAGGCACAGGTCAGGCACTGTGATGCCCCAGGCAGAAGGGCTATTTGGGGGAAAATGAGGGAAAGGACTTTATTTCTTTTTTTTTGAGTTGGAGTCTCACTCTGTCACCCAGATTGGAGTGCAGTGGCCGCTCCCGGCCACCGCAGCCTCTACCTGCTGGGCTCTGGCGAACCTTCCGCCTCAGCCTTCCGAGTAGCCGGAATTATAGGCATGCGCTACCACACCCGGCTGATTTTTTTTTATTTATTGTAGAGATGAGGTCTCGCTGCCCAGGCGGGTCTCGAACCCGCGGGCTCAGGCAATCCACTCACCTCAGCCTCCCAAAGGCGTGGGATTGCAGGCTGAGCCACTGAGTCCGGCTATTTCTTTATTTTTGTATAGGTTCTTCAAATCAGGACTAAGAAATGACTGACTTATTCATTCTTCTCCAAATTCAAAGATGAGAAGCCCAGGAAAGCACAGTTGAGGGCCTAGAGAAGCTGAGAATGACCTGAAAAGCTTCATCTTTAAAAACAAAGCATAGGTCACAGTAATGCATAAAAATAAAACAGTTAACATACATGAGAGCATCGGGATTATTAAAAACCAAGTTGAATTAAAATTTCTGAGAATATGTAAAAAAAAATTGAATCTAAGATGCTTCTTGGATAATTCTGAAAATAAACTTGTGTGCGAGAAATTGAAATAACAAAAGAGTGCCTGAAATTAACAAAAGGCCCACAAAGAAAGCAGTAGTGGAGTACGCAACAGGGATTTTAAAGATGGAGCACTCCTGCCAGACAGCAGCTCATTACTTAACCTGTCAATTACATCTGCAGCTGTGTTCAAAAATTGCCAGAGTTTCAAAAAAAAAAATTGCCAGACTTCATTTCACTTATTGTCAGCCAGGTCTTTTTCAGTCTTTCTTGCTAAGAGGATGGAAAAATCACCGTTTTAGCTGTCCTGGGAATTTGGTATTTACCTGAGAATGGGAGCTTCAACCTACCCTGAAGAGCATCAACAGGCTCTTACTTGAAGTCCCAAGGAGGCTCAGAGTAGTAGAATCTTAGGCAGGACAAGGCTGGTCCACCCAGGCCTCTCCTTCAGCCATCTAGGGGCTTGATGTTGAGATGAAACATCTTAGAAGCAATGTAGCTGCTGAGCCTTTATGAAGGGCAGGTTGACGCCTGCCAGGAATTTGGTGGAGAATACTAATTAATTGGCTCTGTTCTCCAGGGCAGAGACCTACATGATGCCAACAGGGTGTGACTTCATGAGCAAACCTGCTTCACCAGCTCCAGATAAATAGTTGATTCTTGGCGTTTAAGCCTTTGCTTTCAGACAAAAATGAAAATCTCTCCATGAGAATAGCACTTTAAGCCCATCCTGTGCATTCACCATTCACAGTAGACAGAGAAACAAGCTAATTCAAACAAAAGAACACAAACCAAGGAGGGGGAACTGCTGGGGGCACATTCTGCCCTCTCCATAGCTGCTTAGGACTTAGGCTTTTTTGTTCATCTTCTCTGAAATTAATTAAGAGTCTTCTGCTTCTTTTCTTTATCATTGGCTTTGGAAAGCAGCCTATTTTGCAACTTCCTATGCCATTTGACATAGTCAAAAAATGTCCCAAATTTCCAGGGACAGCTAGACTTCTATAGAATAAGGACTCTAGTGGGATCCTCAGAAACTACAGGGTCCTGGTGGATGGGTGTGCAGGTGGAGCAGGGACTAACTTCAGATCTTAGGCCTTTGATGCCCCCAGTCTTCCAAGCTCTGTCTGTGGCAAACTGTACAGCTTTGGCTAGTTACCTGTTGGACACTGTTGTATTGCTAACATTATCATTTGTTTCTCCTTGGCTGTGAATCTGATGGCTTGTATGGAAATCTTTGCTTTCCATAAAATTTTGGTTAAACGAGGCATTTTGTCAATATCTGGCCTCTGCTTTGCTCCTTTTGGTGAATGTACTTTGAGGACAATGCTGATGTCGGCTCTTTGTAATTGTGAAATCTGTACCTACACCTCTGGATTGGAATATCCAGTTGTCTACTGTAAATACTAGCATGGCAGCAAAGGATATGGGGACTGGGCTGCTCTTCTGTATTGTATGAGCATTGTTCTAAATATTAAAGAAATTTAACCCCATGGTCTAATGCAAGGCATTTAAATAAGCGAATGGTTTCAGGTTAGCTTGTTAGACCTCTCTAGATTAGAGGTCCCACCCACCTTTGAATGGCCTGGCTTTTCAAAAAGGGAGGGCTTAGACACAGTATGGATACACGTCCCTCCTGCTACCTTTTGGATTCCATTTTTCTTCTCAGTTACCAGTGACTAAATAATGAAGACAAGATACGCAAATTCGTGAAGAGTTCCATATTGAAAGGAAGGAAGGAAAGAGAAAGAGAAAGAGAGAGAGAGAGAGAGGGAGGGAGGAAGGAAGGAAGGAAGGAAAGAAGGAAGGAAGGAAAGAGAAAGAGAAAGAAAGAGAGAGAGGGAGGGAGGGAGGAAGGAAGGAAGGAAAGAAGGAAAGAAGGAAAGAAGGAAGGAAGGAAAGAAAGAAAGAAGGAAGGAAGGAAAGAAGGAAAGAAAGAAGGAAGGAAGGAAAGAAGGAAAGAAAAGAAGAAAGAAAGAAAGAAGGAAAGAAAGAAAGAAGGAAGGAAAGAAGGAAAAAAAGAAGGAAAGAAGGAAGGAAGGAAGGAAGGAAGAAAAGAAAGAAGGAAAGAAGGAAGGAAAGAAGGAAAGAAGGAAGGAGAGAAGGAAAGAAGGAAAGAAAGAAAGAAAGAAAGAAAGAAAGAAAGAAAGAGAGAAAGAGAGAAAGAGAGACAGGGATCGGTGGCTCAGCCTGTAATCCCGCGCCTTTGGGAGGCTGAGGTGAGTGGATTGCCTGAGCCCGCGGGTTCGAGACCCGCCTGGGCAATTAGGCGAGCCGTCATCTCTACAATAAATCAAAAATTAGCCGGGCGTGGTAGCGCGCACCTGTAGTTCCAGCTACTCGGAAGGCTGAGGCGGAAGGATCGCCGGAGCCCAGCGGGTTGAGGCTGCGGTGGCCGGGAGCGGCCACTGCACTCCAGTCTGGGCGACAGAGTGAGACTCCAACTGAAAAAAAAAAGAAAGAAAGAAAGAAAGGAAGGAAGAAAAGGAAAGGAAAAAAAAAAGATATCTGTGACTAAAATGCTCCCCTTTCCCTCTAGGACAAGGGAGGTGGGGCAAACCTCAAACCACAGGCCTTGATTGCAGCTACTGGCTGCGCTGCAGTGACTCATGCCCGTAATCCCTGCACTTTGGGAGGCCGAGGATTGCCTGAGCCCAGCGGTTTGAGGCCATCCTGGGCAACTTGGTGAGACCTGGTCGCTACAATAAATACACTTTAAAAAAAATTAGCTGGGCATAGTGGTGCGCACCTGTAGTTCCAGATAATTGGAAGGATGAGGCGAAAGGATCGCCTGGGCCCAGCAGATTGAGGCTGTGGTGGTTGAGAGCATGACACTGCACTCCAGCCTGGGCAACAGTGAGACTCCTACTCAAAAAAAAAAAAAAGAGAGAGAGAGAGAGAGAGAGAGAGCGTGCGCAGCTGCCTTTCCTCTTCAGCAGTGTCCCAGTCACTTCATTCCCTTTGTAAGTGATATCAATATCCATCTCTCCCACATCATTTCATCAGTGAAGTTTGAGATTGTGTAAACTCTTCTGCACTAAGGACCCCAGAGTGGAAGTGAGAGGGGGAAGGGAAATAAGTTTAAGAGTCAAGGAAGGATCAAGAAGAAATTTATTTAAAAAATCACACACACACACACACACACACACACACACACACACATCTTTTTAAAAATTATTGTAAACACACAGAAAAGTTGCAAGAGTGATGCAAATGGCTCCTATGTCCTTCACCCATATTCTGCACCTGTTAACATTTTATGCATTTCTGCATGCTCTCTCTGCACATTTTTCTCAATCATTTGGGAGTAAATTGCAGACACTGTGTTCATTTTACCTCTAAATACTTCAATGTGTATGTCTTTTTTTTTTTTTATTGGAGTCTCACTCCGTCACCCAGGTTGGAGTGCAGTGGCACGCTCACAGCCACCCCAGCATCAACCTGCTGGGTGCTGGCGATCCTACCGCCTCAACCTTCCAAGTAGCCAGAACTACAGGTGCACATGCGCACACTACCATGCCCTGCTAATTTTTTTATTGTTGAGCCGAGGTCTCACCAGTTTGCCTGGGCTGGTCTCGAATCCGTGGGCTCAGGCAGTCCACTCGCCGCAGCCTCTCAAAGTGCTGGGATTGCAGGCTGAGCTGAGCCTGACCTAATGTGTGTGCCTTAAGAACAGTCTCCTGTTCTTAAGTTATTTTACTTAACCACAATCAGGAAATTTAGTCAGTGGCTCACACCTGTATTCCCTGCACTTTGGGAGGCAGAGGCAAGAAGATTGCCTGAGTACAGGGGTTTGAGACCAGCCAGGGCAACTTGGCGAGACTTCGTCTCTACAATAAAGCAAAAAATTAGCCGAGCATAGTTGCGCATGCCTGTGGTTCCAGCTACTTGGAAGGCTGAGGCGGAAGGATCACCTGAGCCCAGCAGGTTGAGGCTGCGGTGGCATACTCCAGCCTGGATGATAGAGTGAGACTCCTACTCAAAAAAAAGAAAAGAAGAGAAAAGAAAAAATCTGGAAATTTGATATTGCTCCAATATAATTATATATTCTACAGTTCATACTCA